GACATTGTGATATTCTTCAGTTGAGATTGCCTACGTTTTTGGGTTTTTTGTTTTGTTATTTTTAGACAGGCTATGGCTTGGGGGAGGAAGACTACAGAGAGAAAGCACTTTTTCATCAAATCATATTAATATACTCAACAGAACTTGGTACTGTTGCTGTTAACACCAATCACCTGGCTCAGATACTTGCCTCTTCCTTTCCATACTGTTTGGAAGGAAGTCACATGGATAGCTTATACCTTAGAGGTATGGAGTTTGGTCTAACTCTTCCAGTGCTGAGTGCGTACATAAATTATTTGGGTTTTTTCTGTATGAGATTTGTCTTCCCCTGTTTACTTATTTAGTCGTTTGTCTCAGTGTGGAATCACTGACATATTCTTTATACTTGTGTTGTACCCCAGTTTATTTTGTGATCCAAATTGTTTCAGCTTTAAGCACAGGGAGGCCTTTTACACCCCCACTATAGTTTGGCTTGGCTTTGTATTTTAGCACTTTCTTAACTTCTAGTGCTATAAAATATTATTGGGTCATCTTGTATATTTTCTATCTCAGTCCCAGAATCAGCCAGAGAATCCTGTTTCCTTTTATCGAAAAATGGTATAAGAAATCAAGATTTTGGGGCTGGGGATCAGCGGCATAAGCACCTGCCTTGTAAGCAGGCAGTTGTGAGTTCAATCCCTGGTACCGATAAAAAAACAAAAAATACAAAAAAAAAAGAGAAAGAAATCAAGATTTGGACACTGAGTGTGCTTGTTGCTACTGGGATATCATTGCTTCTAGGATGTTTCGGCTGACAGAAAAGGAAATTCATATACTAACCTACAATAGAAATATACCTATATTGGTATATGTAACTGGCATATTTATACAATGCTACCTCAGTTCACAAAATTGATTCTACGATTCTGGTCACAAACTGAATTGAATAAGAAACAAATCAAATTTCCCAATAAGGCCAGCACTGAACCTAAACATTGAATTTGATTTGGTTCTCATTCGATTCGGTTTGCCACTATGTAAAGATAAACATGAGTTAATTACTGGTATCTCAAACTGTAATCTGATATCATATGGATCATTCTAGAACGACTTTAACATTGACCATCCTGTACCATGTTACATCATGCAGATTCAATAATATATTCATTTTAAAATTCTCTGGTCTAAAATCTTCCTTTGTTGTAGTGGGTTCACTTCACATTTCTCAGTATTTATTTTCAGTTGCTACTTTCATTTAAAACCTGCCACTAAGGGACTGGAGATTTAGCTCAGCTGCGTAAGCGCCTGCCTTGCCCCGGTACCGATAAAAAGGAAAAAGACAAAAACAAACAAACAAACAAAAAAAACTTGCCACTAGTTTTATTTTAAGATATTGCACAAAGACAAGTACCAGAATTCAAGTGAGCCCTGATACTCACTGTGCTTTATTAGGAGTGTTCGGTGCTGACTGAGATACTGAGAATCATGCTATGCAAATATTTATGTGCTTGTCGGCACTAAATACTTAAGTGAGTATAGAGAAGGAAAAAAGATCATACTAGACTGCAATTTATCTTTATATTGGTGAGAATCTGTTTATACAGTACATTTTATATAGTATGTATAGATACCCTAAAAGTTTACTTCAGGAAAACAAACCCTGTTAGAATTACACTTATTAGCTGTTATACTTTGGAGAAATTATTTAATCTCTGTGAATTTGTTTACTGCCTAAGAGTGAAAAAATTACAATTCCTTCAAAGGTTTTTTTTTAAGACTGGGACTAGTTCCCAGATGCGCGCCATTGGTGGGGAAGAGTGGGTAAAACTGTCTTGGGAATGACACATGAACACTGCCAGGAGGGTACCAAACCAGTGCTTGGGCATTTCCGGGGTCACCTATTCAGTGGTCGCCTCATCCTCTCTCCTGATTATTTTGCCTCCAAATCATCACTCTCCCACTTGTCTTAGAACTGTGAGGAGCACTGTAGAGTGCCAAAGATCGTCTTAGTCCCATTATTATTTCTGACAGCCATCATGAAATGGTTTATGAGAAAATTATAAACTCTGCCCCAATTCCAGTCTTCAGAAAGGGGAACTTCTGAAGTGGCAAGGTTTACCCCTGTCATCACTGACACAATTTCTCTTTCTCAATTTCTCTGTGAGTAACAAATACAGTTTTTGCTGCTAAGACTGATTCTTCTTTTAAGGAAGCACGTAGTGAGCCCCTACTATGTCCAACTCTTGGTGGTAAATATGGAGATGGATAAAAATGTGTCCAGTGGTGTCTGGGAGCCATCCCATGTTATTCTAATAAAATCTCTTTCTTGGCTTAAGTTAGGCAAAGCAAATTCTGTTGTATGTTGTATTCATCCAAAGAACCCTACATGGTGTTTAAAAGTTTTACAAAAGAAAAATACCCCTGACATTTGTTTAGATAGTCATGAATATGATGAATAGGGTGTCTAGTTAATATCGATTACATGCTAGAAGATTGCATACTGGATTACATACTGGAAACAAAGTTGGAAAGGTTGCTCAGGTCTGAATTTTGGAGGCTGTTGACTGCTAGGATCAGGGGAAGATTAAATGGAAGAGGAACTCAGGCATGGAGATTGAAAATCTGAGTGATGGGTGGTGGCAGTCTCTTGTGAATGCTTATACTTTCCTGCATTATTTATTCAATTCATCATTTTTTTTTTGAGTTCTGATGATATATGCCAGGTTCATTGCTGCATTTTTAGGACTATAAAGATCTTTAAGACATGTGTCTTGTCTTTCAGAGCTCCCAAGCTGAAAAGCTAATCAGACCTGTTACTGTAAGAGATAAATCACTAAGTTTATATAAAATTACAGATATTTTGTGTAAGAAAAAGTGGCTCTTGTTGGGCTAGGAAAAACTTCAAAGAAGTGATTTTTGAAGAGTTTTAAATAGCAGTTTTCCAGGTTTTTGCAGTGTAAATGTATGTCAACATTGGGATTAGAGGTGGAGGGGTAGAAGTGTATATCAGGGTTATTGAAATGAGAAAATGTTACATGACAGCTTTGCTAATCATACTCTTAGCCTTTTTCATTTGCTTTGGAAGACGAAACTAGCCACCAGAATGTGTGCCTCATTACATTTTTTTCGTACTGAAGAGTCAGTCTACATATATGTACCTTAGATTGTAGAAGTCTAGAGATAACCTGCTTTTTCCACTGGGGCCTAACAGTAAACTTGGAAGAAGTTTGAGACTGTTCTTTTTATTTATGTGTATATGTTTTGCATAGTGTAAAAATAGAATGTGTAGTTAAACCATTTATAAATTTAAAAAAAAGATTTAGGATTGTAAACACATAATGTGATAGTTTTTTTTTGTTTTTTTTTTTTGGTCTTTTTTGGTATCAGGAATCGAACTCACGACTGCCTGCTTGCAAGGCAGGCGCTTATGCTGCTGAGCTAAATCTCCAGCCCCACATAATGTGATAGTTTAAAAATGGTAAGAGAAGAAAAGCAAGGACTAAACTCCAAGGAACACTAGTAATTAAAAGATAGGCTGAAAAAGGAGGCCCAACAGAGGATACTGAAACAGAAGCATTTAGAGGAATCACAAAATCAGGATGTCCCAGAAGCCAGGCGAGGAGAAAGCTACAGAATAAGGTTAGGAAACCATGGGGAATGCATGAAAATAGAACCCAAGAATGTCTATTAGTTTGCATAAAGGGGTGATTACATAGCCTTATTAGCATTGCTGTGGGATGGTGGGGGTAGGAGCTGGATTACAGGGAGTGTAAAGGGAGAGGAGGGAGGGAAACATTCAAGATGATTGGCTGTGGGTGAAGGGAGGGATATTAGTAGCAGAGCGGAGTAAGTCACCGGAGGCCTTTTTGTTTGACTTGTTAATGACAAAATTGATGCATATTGGTCCTGGAAGTCCATGACACTGAGGTTCCTAACAATGGAATGCCTTAAAACAAGATACTCCATCTGATATGTAAATATATAATTTCACTCTCATTCAAGATGGGTTGTCTTGTTTTGTATTCTTTCACAAAAATACAGTACTTTTCTGTAACCATGTGCAGATTTTAGAGATGAAGATGTGCCGAAAGTAAATACATCTGGAATCATAAATGAAAATTTTAATCTGCCTTTATGTGCATTTACCTTATTCATGGAAGGGAAAATCAAGCTATTCCAAATGTGTTGGAAATTTAGGGTACACACAAAACACTTTACGCGTTAGCTCCTTTGCTGCCCACAGTTTAGTGGTAAAAAGGGAAGGAATTTGGGTGAGCAGAATCTAATGTTAATCTAGTAGAATAATAATTTTTACTAAAGATTCCCACTTTGCATTGATTATGAAGAATCTGTCAACTAGTAGGTGCACCCATTTCAGACTTTTACTTTGCTAGACCATTGTCTAGAAAAAGAAATTTGTTGGCACAAGAAACCAGACTATGCCAAAGTCAAGTAAAATCTGTTTCAGTTATTTGGAACCAGAAACTGACTATACTCATCTGTGTCTCAGCTTTCTTCCTAGATGTGGTGAGTAAAATGGTGGCTTTGGTAGTCCAGACTTCACATATTTATTCTTTTATATCTTGTTCTTAATGTTGTTGAAAATGCAGTCTTTATAGGATTGTAAGACCTTCCTTCATTTTAGGAAGTGTTTTTATATATGATTAAAAATTGTATTTGAAAATCAGTTCTTTCCAGTTTATTAGTTATAACTGCAGATTCTTTAGGCTACTGTTTAACCCACTTGTTGAAGTAGTGTCTCCTAAGAACAAAATCATTTACAGCTTGTCTTAAAATATATGGCATCTCGTTACAATTAGGTACTGCATAGGATTACGTATTTTTAGATACTTAGATTTAGTGGCTTAATGTGGTTTCTAACCTACCAAAGAATGATATGCTCATGTTGCCTCATATTCTCTAAGCTGATTGATCAAAAAGGAAAAGTATGTTTAAAAATTATAGTTTAACTATTAAATTGATTTGTGTCCTTAGCAATTCCTTGATATTGTTTGTTTCAGATGAGAAAAAACAAATGGTTGCGAATGTGGAGAAACAACTTGAAGAGGCAAAAGAACTGGTATGTAGAAATAATGAGTATGTTTTCACAAATGCCTTTGGTCCAATGCCTTCCTCTAGCCTGTTATGCTTATAGAAAGGTGAAACATTACTGATCAGTGGTTTTTTTTTTTAACTGAAGGAAATGTAATGGCTTCTTGAGATTTTGTTCTTCCTGAATTTCCAATTTTTATCCCTTCATAATACTTTTCAGGAAAAATAGTTAATGCTGGGTAAAGGCATACTAGATACAATACACTGTGATTGACATATTACATCTTTATAATATTAAACTTTTCAGAAGCCTTACAGGACAAGTACTGTTTGTCAAAAACTCTGAAGGGTCTGAGATTTCTCCCTGCTTGCAAGCCGAGTGAGTGTGCCACAATTTTATGAGTGGTGATACAAGTCAGAGATGAAACACTGATTTTACCCACAGCGAAAGCAGCTGCCAGAGCTTTGACCAGGTTACATCAGTTCCTGAGCTCCAGCTGCCACAAGGGTGAAGTGAGCCTAGTGTATGCTGACACAAGTAATAGGAAACCTTACAGGGGAGGAACACAGACCTGGTAATAAGCCACTTTCTAGCTGTCTGGAAGCATGTCTGCTTTTTGTCTCAGAGGGGAACGTATTATTTCTTCCCTCAAAGTTACTCTCTATGAGCAGAATTTGAAAAGTGGCCTGGACAGAGTAGTTAAAACCTTGCTTTCTTGGTACACTCAGGAGGCCATGTAGGAGCATGAGAGGACCAGGCCAGTGTGATTCTCAACACTTTTGTCACCTCCATCCTGTAGATGGGCACTGAGACTTAAAGTGAGTCATTTAGCTGGGGTTTCACTTCCTGGTAGGTGGAGCAGTAAGGATTTGTACCTAGATGGGCTAAAGTCAGAGCTGAAGAACTTATCTATTACTTTTTCTTAGAAATAAGCTTATAAATAGGAAAAAAGAGAGAAAAAAGTATTGCATTTCAGTTTTGGTTCAAAACCCAAACATTCCAAGTATGATTCAATTTATTACTGTGCATTATGATCCCAAATGCATTTGTTATTGTTGTTCTAAATACTGAAGGGTACTCACTGGTCTTCCCTTAGTACTACCTTCTGACAGACTTAGGCTAGTTCCTAAAATGTTCATGTTCACTAGTGTTACTTGGTCAAAAGGGCTAGGAAGCTAGCCAAGTTTAAACAGAACTAGGAGTTGAGGTTTTTACAGAACCTTTTTGGGCCTTTAGAAAGATTCTAGGGCGTTGTGAATCTCTAAGAAGGGACTCTTAGCTGGAGCCTGGAGCATGTCCCAAGCTTTTCAGGTGATACTTGTTACTGTGACCGCACCTGAGGGGCTGCAGCTTTGGGGATCTTTAAGGAGGAGGTGTGTCTTCCTTATTGCACAGGAGACATTTCTTCTGTCCACCACAAGGGCATGGACCCACAGAACTGCTGCTCCAGTTGTCCCTTTGCTAGTTCTTCTCCAGTTATCAAATTCTCTGTGTTCTCCATGCCCTGAAGGCCTACTGTGAAGCTCTGGTGGGTGCTGCCACTCTCTTTACCATGGCAGCTTTACCTCAGTGTCCGTGACTGCTAATAATTTGCCTCTTTTTGAAAATTCCCCTTTTAAAAACATGTTTCTCTCTTTACTTTCTTTTCTTTTTTATATCAAACTGCTTATCTCATGCTTTTAGGCTTTCTTGTAAAAGATTGACGTTTTTGTACCCGAGCAGCCAATCAGAACACTTCTCCCTCTGATTGGCAGGGTAACTATAAATACTGCAACTGGTCAATATATATTTTAGATCTTGAGTTGACCTGTGACATTGTTGAGACTCCAGCTGCAGCTTTTCACTATTGAATTTGTTTTGCCTTCTTCTGGAGCCATTCTGATATTTTCTCCATGATGATATTTTATCATCTCGGTGATGATAAAAAGCTGGTATTCTGGTAGCCAAGGTTTTACCATAACAAAAAGTATATAGAACATAGCTCCACCCTCATGGAGCTTATTATAGTCATCTTTAATTATTACTGATTGTAGGAGTTTGTGAAGATCCATATTTCTGTTTGTTTAATATGATCAGAACAAGTTCCAATGCCATCTGGGCAACACAGTGATTTAGCAAGACTCTGCATTAAAAGAAATAATGTTTGTAAGTTGGCTGGAGATGTGGCTCAGTACTAAAGCCCTAATGTGATCTTTAGTACCACAAAAACTACACAGCCTCTGGCTTATTTATTTAGTTCTGACAACTCTTTGATAAAGATACTGTGTATTATCTGCTATACTGCCTTTCTTACGAGGACCCTTTGGCTGTTAGAGTTAATTGTGTTTCTCCTAAGCAGTTGGTTTTTTTTAATCTGTTGGTCATTGGAGCATCTAATAGTTAGTGTATCTTCCTGGCCACATGAATGTCATGACGACATAAAACACACACATGTCACCTGGTTTCATTTGTTTGCTATGTTTCCATTTCTTCCCTACTTCTAATCTTAGTTTAAATATCCTTGTAAGATGTCTTAAACAAAGCATGTACTTAACTCTAGACTTTGAGTTTTATGTATTTTTGCAGTTATTTCGATGATCCTGTTCATCTTATTAGAACCAAGTACTTAATGATGATTTCAGAGAAATGCTTTAAATAATTACTTTGTTGGTGGTGATTCACATTTATATTTAGTTATGTCATTAGTTAATTTTTTGTGCTTATTTGTGCATGTCTGGTGTATGTAACAATTCTGTTCATCGTGGGGGGTTGGTACATGTTCATCCCTTAATTGTTTTTACCTCCCCTTTCCCTTCCCTGTCTTCCCACTCCCTGTGTATATCGTTCTCCTTCCCATTTGCGGAGAATCTGCTTCCCTATTTTATAATATATGTCTTTTATTTTGGTCCTGAAATTATACTTTGAGTTTCTCATATAAGGGAAACCATGAGTTACTTGTGGTTATGTGTCTGATTTTATAGTGATAGCTCGGTTCATAAATTTGATTCTTTCACCAATTCTGGTCACAAACCAAAAAGGAAAAGTACTGAATCAAATTCAGTAGTTAGGTTCAGTTTGACCTAAGGGACATTTTAATTTGGTTCTCATTCAGTTTGGTTGGTGACCAGTCTTGGAAAGAATTTAAGTTTGTGAACCACAGTACTGCTGTATTTCAATTAACATTGTGGTCTCAAGTGCATTCATTTTCTTACAAATGACTCAAAATTACCATTTTTATGGTCTAGTATTCTACTGTATATAAATACTACATTTTCTTTAGTTGTCTTTTTGATGGACGTCTTTTTGATAGACCACTTCTAAGGTTTAGCTATTTTGAATTGTGCTTCTATAAACAGATGTGCATGTATCACTGTAATATGATGTCTTTATTCTCTTTCTCTCTCTTTTTTTTGTTTTTTGTCTTTTTCCTTTTTATCGGTACAGGGGATCGAACTCATGACTGCCTGCTTGCAAGGCAGGTGCTTATTGCCGCTGAGCTAAATCCCCAGCCTCTGTCTTTATTCTCTTGAGAAGACACCTAAAAGGAAAATAGCTGGGTTGAGTGGAAGTTCTAGCTTTAGGTGCTTGAAGAATTTCCATTCTGATTGCCATAGAAGTTGTACTAGTTTAAATTGTTGCCAATAATGTAGAAGCATTTCTTTTTTCCCTGCAGCCTTGCCAAAATGTATTATTTGATTTCTTGATGGTAACCATTTTTTCTGGGATAAAACGAAATCTTACTGTTGCTTTCACTTGCGTTTTTCTCATAACCGATGATGAGGAACATTTTTTCTATGCATTTACTCACCATTTGTATTTCTTCTGAGAAGTGTGCATTTATTTCAATTGCTCATTTTTTGATTGTATATTTTATTTGGAGAGGGTCTTATGTTTTTGAGTTCTTTGTCTGTTGTAGATATTAGTTATCTGAGGAGTGGCTGGCAAAATTTTTCCTTTTCTATAGTTTGTCTTTTCCCTCTGTTGGTTGCTTTTTTCGGTGCACAGGTGCTTTTTGATATAATCCCATTTCTTGATTCTTGATATTATTATTAGCATCTTTTTGTTTTTGAGATAGGGTCTTACTGTGTAGTTCAGACTTGCTTTGAATTTACTATGGAGCCTAGCCTGGCCTTGAACTCACAGTGATCACAGTGATCCTCCTGCCTCAGCCTCTCAGTGCTGGGATTACAAGACTGTGCCACCATGCCTGGCTTTGATATTATTTCCTGTACAGTGGGAGTTCTGTTCAATAATTTTTTTACCAAGAGCCAGCCCAGTCCCCCATGTATGCTCAGGCCCCCATTGGGCCACAAGTAACCATTGTGGGGAGGGAGAAAAATCAGCCAGCCCCACCCATAAAACCTGCCAGCCAATGTCACCTTCAGAGACCTGTAGCCAGTGCAGGCTCGGAAAACCAGCCAGCCATGCCTTGGAGAAGCCAACAATGTCTGGAGAAGCATGCCTTGCACTCCACCACCTCTCTAGAACGTGGGTAGAAGAAACCCAGGTGCCTGACCCATCCCCCTACACTGTGGACAGGCAATCAACATGGGAAATGCCTGGGACCCCACAACCCGCTCATTTGGAGGAACTCAGGAAAATGTCAAGACAAAGGAGCAAAAGGCAGTCTCTGGCCTCCAGCCCTCACAGAGCAAGTCCAGGAGACTTAGACATGGAAGAAAATGGAAGTTACATGCCTGAAATTTCTGGGATGATGGCAACTGAAGTCAAGAAACTACTTCATGAGGCAGTAAAAGAAATCAGATCAGAAATAATATCTCAAGTAAAAGAAGAAATAACAAACATAATAAATGGGTTGCTGACTGACTTGGGAACATGGCAGCAGATAGCAGCAGCTACGCAGGCTCTCTGCGAGACCCAGCTTAGAATCCAGGAATGGTGTGGAGTGAGGAATCCTAACCAAGAGGAGATATACCCTGCTGACCCAAGAACGAACTGGGCTGAGAGATACCAACTGGGAATGCAATCTTGGTGCTATAACAGGAACAGATAAAGCTAGAGCATGGAAGCTGGAGCCTGCGCCATTG